ACCCCGACTCACTTGGATTTCATTTACCTCCCATTTCCTCCTGGGACAAACAACCACAACCATTTCATTTCTTTCCTTAACTCCCCAAATATTCCCAATTCCACCACTCCAGCCCCGCTTTTTTTGCCCGTGTGTGCGTGCCCATCCCTCGGAGGGCTCAGGGCAGCATCTCCCCCTCCTCCCCGCTCTTCGGGGACCCTGAGCTCCTGGTTCTTCCCTCTTTTGGCAGCAGCACGGACATGACTCTCATTGTAATTACAAATCCCGGCCTCTGTAATTCCCCGCACCTTTTGCAGAGTTGCTGCTGCGAGGAGCCGCCTGCTTTATGGCTCGGAACGAGGCTGTCGCTTCCAATCCTCTCCCGGCCCTTTATCTCCCTTTGATGCTTTTGAAGAGGCAGCGAAATGTTAATTCCAGCTGGAAATGTTAATTCCAGCTCGGCCCTCTCCTCTTCGGGCAAATCCAGCCTGGAAAGGGCTGGCAGGTGATGCTTGGGTTTTAGTTTTTGTGGTTTTTTCTCATTTTGTGATGATTTAGGGTGTGGGGCTGAGCTTCGTAGCAGGGGATGCTGAGCTCTCTGCACAGAGCAGAGACGAAACAATTCCTGCTCCAGCTGGGGCCAAGGAGAAACGATCCAAATCTCTGCCCCAGGAGCACCAACAGCGCGGGCTGGAGAGAGGAAAACCAGCAGGGTGGGACTGCACGGGTAAAGCCGGGACTGGGCAATTAACTCCAATATGCAAATGAAGGAGAAATTAGCAAAGTGACAGACCCCGTGACCTCGTCCATTTTTGTGACCATTTTGGTTCATTTTGGGTCCATTTTGTGATCATTTGGGTCCAGTTTGAGTTCATTTTGGGTCCATTTCAGGTCCATTTGAGTCCATTTTGGGTTCATTTTGTGACCATTTTGTGACCATTTTATGTTCATTTTGTGACCATTTTGCTTCATTTTGTGACCATTTTGGGTCCATTTTGGGTCCATTTTGGGTCCATTTTGAACCATTTTGGTTCATTTCGGGTGCAGCCCTGGCTGGGCTCTGGCGCTGCCCAAGGTGGATCCACTGAGGAGATCTTTTAATGAATCCCTGCTTGGTTCTGGAACTGCCTGGCCAATCTCTCATTGAGGAGATCTTTAAATAAATTTATTCTCTAACTCTGCCTGGCCAATCCCTCCATTGAGGAGATCTTTCAATAAATTTATTCTCTAACTCTGCCTGGCCAATCCCTCCATTGAGGAGATCCTTTTCACAAATCCCTGCTTTTTTTTTTTTTTTTTTTAATTTATTAAAATTATCTCCATGGAGAGATTGGCCAGGCAGAGTTAGAGAATAAATTTATTTAAAGATCTCCTCAGTGAGAGATTGGCCAGGCAGAGTTAGAGAATAAATTTATTTAAAGATCTCCTCCATGAGAGATTGGCCAGGCAGTTCCAGAACCAAGCAGGGATTCATTAAAAGATCTCCTCATTGGATCCACCTTGGGCAGCGCCAGAGCCCAGCCAGGGCTGCACCCAAGATGAACCAAAATGGTCACAAAATGGACCAAAATGGTCACAAAATGGTCACAAAATGAACCAAAGATGGACCCAAAATGGTCACAAAATGGACCCCAAATGGTCACAAAATAGAAGCAAAATGGACCCAAATGGTCACAAAATGAACCGAAGATAGACCCAAAATGGTCACAAAATGGTCACAAAATGGAACCAAATGGTCACAAAATGGAGCCAAAATTGAGCCAAAATGGTCACAAAATGGAGCCAAGATGAACCCAAATGGTCACAAAATGGTCACAAAATGGACTCAAATGATCACAAAATGGTCAAAAAATGGACCCAAAGGATCACAAAATGGAGCCAAACTGGACCCAAAGGGTCACAAAATGGACCCAAAATGGACCCAAAGGATCACAAAATGGAGCCAAACTGGACCCAAACTGGACCCAAAATGAACCCAAAATGGTCACAAAATGGACCCAAAATGGACCCAAATGGTCACAAAATGGAGCCAAACTGGACCCAAAATGGACCCAAAATGAAGCCAAAATGAACCCAAAATGGTCACAGAATGTGCCCAAAATGGTCAAAAAATGGACCCAAATGATCACAAAAATGGTCACAAAATAGAAGCAAAATGGACCCAAATGGTCACAAAATGAACCGAAGATAGACCCAAAATGGTCACAAAATGGTCACAAAATGGAGCCAAAATTGAGCCAAAATGGTCGCAAAATGGAGCCAAGATGAACCCAAATGGTCACAAAATGGACTCAAATGATCACAAAATGAACCCAAGATGGTCACAAAATGGAGCCAAAATGAACCCAAATGGTCACAAAATGGAGCCAAATTGGAGCCAAATGGTCACAAAATGGTCAAAAAATGGACCCAAATGGTCACAAAATGGAGCCATACTGGACCCAAAGGATCACAAAATGGAGCCAAACTGGACCCAAAATGAACCCAAAATGGTCACAAAATGTGCCCAAATGATCACAAAATGGAACCCAAATGGTCACAAAATGGACCCAAAATGAACCCAAATGGTCACAAAAATGGACCCAAATGATCACAAAATGGACCCAAATGGTCACAAAATGGTCACAAAAATGGACGAGGTCACGGGGTCTGTCACTTTGCTAATTTCTCCTTCATTTGCATATTGGAGTTAATTGCCCAGTCCCGGCTTTAGCCCGTGCAGTCCCACCCTGCTGGTTTTCCTCTCTCCAGCCCGCGCTGTTGGTGCTCCTGGGGCAGAGATTTGGATCATTTCTCCTTGGCCCCAGCTGGAGCAGGAATTGTTTTGTCTCTGCTCTGTGCACAGAGCTCACCATCCCATAATATGCAAACCCCACACCCTAAATCGGCACAAAATTGGCAAAAATATAAAAATTAAACCCTGAGGGACCTGGCCGTGCCCAACCCACCCCGAATTTGGGGACATTGGAGGTGGCAGCAGGGACAGATGGAGCTCACCAAGTGCCAGGGGCTGGTGGCCAAGACCCGCCTGGTGCTGGCCACAAATGGGCAAATATTTAAAGCGTTAAAAAATATTTAAAGGTTTTTTAAAAATTATTTTAAATATTTTAAAATATTAAAAATATGTAAAGGTTTTAAAAAACATTTGAAGTATTTGAAAGTGTTACAAATATTTAAAAGTTAAAAACATATTTTAAATATTTTAAAATATTAAAAATATTTAAAGGATTTTAAAAATATTTAAATATTTTAAAGCATTAAATCTCTTAAAAGGTTTAAAAGTATTTAAAGTATTTTAAAATAGTAAGACTATTTAAAGGTTTTAAAAAATATTTGAAGTATGTGAAAGTATTAAAAGTATTTAAAGGTTTAAAAAATATTTAAAGTATTTTAAAGTATTAAAAATATTTAAAGATTTAAGAAATATTTTAAAATATTTAATGGTTTTAAGAAATATTTTAAATATTTTGAAGTATTAAAAATATTTTAAGGTTCCACCCTTGGATCAACTCCTCATCCCTTGATCCCACTCCTCATCCCTAAATCCCACTCCTTGTCCCTAAATCCCACTCCTTATCCCTAAATCCCATTCTTTGTCCCCAAATCCCACTTCTCATCCCTGATTCCACCCTTGGATCTACTCCTTGTCCCTGGATCCCAGCCCTGGATCCCATTCCTTGTTCCTTGTCCTTAAATCCCACTTTTCATCCCTAAATCCTGCTCCTTGTCCCTAAATTCCACTTTTCATCCCTAAATTCTGCTCCTTGTCCCTAAATCCCACTTTTCATCCCTAAATCCTGCTCCTTGTCCCTAAATCCCGCTCCTCATCCCTAAATCCCTCTCTTTGTCCCTCAATCCCACTCCTCATCCCTAAATCCCATTCCTCATCCCTGGATCCACCCTTGTATCCCATTCCTTGTTCCTTGTCCCTAAATCCTACTCCTCATCCTTTGATCCCACTCCTCATCCCTAAATCCCACTCTTTGTCCCTAAATCCCACTCCTCATCCCTAAATCCCACTCTTTGTCCCTAAATCCCACTCCTCATCNCCACTCTTTGTCCCTAAATCCCACTCCTCATCCCTAAATCCCACTCTTTGTCCCTAAATCCCACTCCTCATCCCTAAATCCCACTCTTTGTCCCTCAATCCCACTCCTCATCCCTCAATCCCACTCTTTGTCCCTAAATCCCACTCCTCATCCCTAAATCCCACTCTTTGTCCCTAAATCCTACTCCTCATCCTTTGATCCCACTCCTCATCCCTAAATCCCACTCTTTGTCCCTCAATCCCACTCTTTGTCCCTAAATCCCACTCCTCATCCCTAAATCCCACTCTTTGTCCCTCAATCCCACTCCTCATCCCCGGATCCGCTTTCCCTCCTGCTGGGGCTTGGCTGGGGCTGGAATTTTGGGATCCCACTGGAACTCAAAGAATTCCCATCCCCCTTCCCAGCCGAGCTCTTCCAGAACTTTCCACAGCCTCGGCCTCGGGAGAAGGTTCCGGTGTCACCCCGGGATTGGGAATTTTGGGAGCCGGTGGCCGTGATGGCGGTGGCAGCGGGGCGGGAATTCTTGGAAAATCCCCTGGGAAAAAATTAACATTATTGTGACTCCCAGTGCCGCCCCCTTTTCCATCCTTTTTCACCCCAATTTCTTTCCATCCTCGCCCCTTCCCTCGCTCCCCAAAATTCCAGCGGTACTTTGGGAGGGGCGGGGTTTAAATCCGAGCTCGGAGCTTCTAAAAGTGAGAAAAAACCAAAGGGAAAAGGGGAAAAAAACCGCCAAAAATAAAACCAAGAATCTTAATGGTATTTTTATTTTTTGGTTTTTTTGTGTCTGTGTTTTCTTCTGTTTTATTTTATTTTATTTTTCCGTTTTTTCTCTTTTTTTGTTGTCGTTAGCAACCCAACTACTGGAGCTTTAAGGTCAGTATTTCGGATTTTTCCGGCTTTCTCTTGGAAGTGCATGTGGATGTGGCTCTGGAAAGGGGGTGGGAAAAGGGTGGGATTTTTAAAATTTTATTTTTTGGGATAAGAATTCCCGAGCTGAAGTTGTTTGGTCTTGGCTCAGCTGAAGCTGGAGGTGGTGAGAGGGGATTTTTGGGTGGAAAAGGATGGGAAAAGGAAAAGGATGGGAAAAGGAAAAGGATGGGAAAAGGATGGAAAAAGGAGGGGGAAAGGATGGGAAAAGGAAGGAAAAGGATGGGAAAAGAATGGGAAAATAATGGGAAAAGGATTGGAAAAGGATGGGAAAGGATGGAAAATAATGGGAAAAGGATGGAAAAATGATGGGGAAAAGGATGGAAAAGGATGGAAAAAGGAAAGGATGGAAAAGGATGGGAAATGCCCCATCCTGGAGTTTCTGGGATCGGGATTGAGGTTTGGGAATGCGTATCCCGGAATTTCTGGGATCGGGGTTTGGGAATGCCCCATCCCAGAATTTCTGGAATCAAGATTGGGATTTGGGAATGCCCATCCTGGAATTTCTGAGATCAGGGTTTTGGGAATGTCCCTTCCTGGAGTTTCTTGGATTGGGATTTGGGAATGCCCATCCCGGAATTTCTCGGATCAGGATCGGGGTTTGGGAATGCCCCATCACAGAGTTTCTGAGATCGAGGTTTGGGAATGCCCATCCCAGAATTTCTGGGATCGAGATCGAGATTTGGGAATGCCCATCCCGGAATTTCTGGGATCGGGATTCCCGCTCACACCGGGAGGGGCCGGCCCCTTCCTTGAGTCCGGGGTTTTAAAATCCCTGATCCGATTTGAACTAATCCTGTTAACGTTGAGGTCGGGATTAATCCCGGTTTAATCGGGATTAATCCCGGTTTAATCAGGATAATCCTGACAAAGTGCTCGGCGTTAGAGGCGGGATGAGTTATTGCTGCCGGCCGGGAACGATTTTAATTTGGGGCGGGGGGAGAGGGGAGGGGGCTGGAGAGGCCCCGACCCCTTGGATGGGGAAAACTCCGGGAAAAACCCTTTGGGTGGTGCTTGGAACACCCCGGGCTTCTCATTTCATCCGTTTGTACCCCAAATTTCCTCTGATTTTCCCTCCTTTTCTTCCCAAATCCCTTCTGAGTGGTGCTCAGAACAACTTGGGCTTCTCATTTCTTCCATTTCTGCCCAAATTTCCTCTGATTCTCTCTTTTTCTCCCCAAAACCCTTTGGATGGTGCTCAGACCATCCCAGCCTTCTCGTTTCTTCTATTTCTACCCAAATTCCCTCTGGTTTTCCCTCCCAAAACCTTTTGGATTTTGCTCACAGCACCCCAAACCTCTCGTTTCTTCCTCTTCTACCCCAAATTCCCTCGATTTTCCCTCCTTTTCTTCCCAGCTGGGCATCTCCTGGCTGTTGGAATTCCTTCCCGCTGGAATCCATCGCTGAGGGAAAAGGCGGAGCAGAGGGGTTGGGTTCCAGACGGGAATGTCGGGCACTGGGATTCCACTGGAACCTGGGGGAGAATGCCCCAGATTTGGGAGGCTGAATTCCACTTGGGAATTCTGGATTCTGGTCAGGGATGTTCTATTCCAGTTGGAAATTCTGGATTCTGGTCAGGAATCTTCTATTCCAGTTGGGAATGCTAATTTTTGGTCAGGGATGCTGGATTCTGGTCAGGGATATTCCATTCCAGGTGGAAATTCTGGTTATTGGTCAGGGATGTTCTATTCCAGTTGGGAATTCTGGATTCTGGTCAGGGATGGTGTATTCCCATTGGGAATTCCGGGTTTTCCTCAGGGATGTTCTATTCCAGCTGGATTCTGCTCAGGAATTTCTATTCCAGTTGGGAATGCTGGTTTATGGTCAGGGATGCTGGATTCTGGTCAGGGATGGTGTATTCCCATTGGGAATTCTGGATTCTCCTCAGGGATGTTCTATTCCAGCTGGGAATTCTGGATTCTGCTCAGGAATTTTCTATTCCAGTTGGGAATGCTGGTTTTTGGTCAGGGATGCTGGATTCTGGTCAGGGGTGGTCTATTCCCATTGGGAATTCTGGGTATTGGTCAAGGATGTTCCATTCCAGTCGGGAATTCTGGATTCTGGTCAGGAATGTTCTATTCCAGTCGGGAATTCTGGTTGTTGGTCAGGAATGTTCTATTCCCATTGGGAATTCTGGATTCTGCTCAGGGATGTTCCATTTCCATTGGGAATTCTGGGTTCTGCTCAGGAATGTTCTATTCCAGTTGGGAATTCTGGATTCAGCTCAGGAATGCTCTATTCAAATTGGGAATTATAGTTTCTCATCAGGAATGCTGGTTTCTGCTCAGGAATGTTCTATTCCTGCTGGGAATTCTGGATTCTGGTCAGGGATGTTCTATTCCAGTTGGGAATTTTGGTTTTTGGTCCAGGGATGTTCCATTCCAGGTGGGAATTCTGTTTTTTGTCAGAAATGTTCTATTCCAGTCGGGAATGCTGGTTTAACATGGATCCTACACCATGGATCCCATCCCACCCCATGGATCCCATCCCATGGATCTGATCCTATGGATCCCATGCATCCCATCCCATCCCACCCCATGGATACCATCCCATCGATTTTATCCCATGGATCCCACCCCACCCCATGGATCCCATCTCACCCCATGGATCCCATCCCATCCCCTGGATTCCTTCCATGGATCTCAGCCCATTGATCCCAGCCCATGGATCTCATCCCACCCCATGGATCCCGCCCCATGGATTCCTTCCCATGGATCCCATCGCATTGATCCCAACCCATGGATCCCATCATGGATCTCACCTCATGGATTCCACCCCACAGATCCCACCCCATGGATCCCACCCCATGGATTCCACCCTATGGATCCCATCCCACCTCATAGATCCCATCCCATGCCCTGGATTCCTTCCCATGGATCCCATCCCACCCCATGGATCCCACCCCACCCCATGGATTCTTTCCCATGGATCCCATCCCATCCCACCCCACAGATCCCATCCCACCCCACAGATCCCATCCCACCCCACGGATCCCATCCCACCCCACGGATCCCATCCCATCAATCCCACCCCATAGATCCCATCCCACCCGATGGATCCCATGCATCCCATCCCATCTCATCCCATGGATCCCACCCCATGGATTCCTTCCCATGCATCCCACCCCACCCCACGGATCCCATCCCACCCGATGGATCCCATCCCATGGATCCAATCCTATGGATCCCATGCATCCCATCCCATCTCATCCCGTGGATGGATCCCACCCCATGGATTCCTTCCCATGGATCCCACCCCACGAATCCCACCCCCCAGATCCCATCCCACCGCAGGGCTCAGCACCAGATGGGATCCGGGCGGGACACCGGGATTAACGGTGAGAGGGGGATCAGCCGGGATTAATCCCGATCCGTGTCCAACCAGGGGCCGGAGCCTCGGTAAATAACGGCGCCCACGGCCGGCCGTGCCAGCCGTGCCAGCTGTTTGCCAGGGATTTCAGACCTCGCATCCCTCCCTCGCCTTTATCCCCATCCTGCCCAGGAGCTGCAGACGGGCAGCAGAGGGCAAGGTGCTGCCAGGTCCTGCCAGGTCCTGCCAGGAGCATCCAGGACCCTCCAGGACCTGCCGGGTCCTGGCAGGACCCTCCAGGACCCACCAGGTCCTGCCAGGACCCTCCAGGACACACCAGGTCCTGCCAGGACACACCAGGTCCTGCCAGGACACACCAGGACCTGCCAGGACCTGCCAGGACCCACCAGGTCCTGCCAAGACTCTCCAGGACCCGCCAGGACCTGACAGGACCTGCCAGGACCCACCAGGTCCTGCCAGGACCCTCCAGGACCTGCCAGGAGCCACCAGGTCCTGCCAGGACCTGCCAGGACACACCAGGTCCTGCCAGGACCCTCCAGGACACACCAGGTCCTGCCAAGACCCTCCAGGACCTGACAGGACCTTCCAGGACCTGCCAGGACCCACCAGGTCCTGCCAGGACCCTCTAGGACCTGCTAGGAGCCACCAGGACCTGCCAGGACCCTCCAGGACCACCCAGGACCTGCCAGGCCCCGCCAGGGCCATGCCCGGCCGTGCTCCGGAGCACCCTGGGTGCCCATGGGGAGCGATTCTGGGGGGTCTGGGGGCTTCTGGAGGGTGTGACCCCCACCCCGGAGCTGCCCAGCCCGGCCCGGGAGGTTCCTCCCGGTGACCGGAGGGGACGGGAGGCCGAGCTCGGGGACAGAGAGGACTTGTCCATCCCAGGTCTGATTTGGGGATGATTTTGGGGGTTTTGGGGCGGCTCTCAGGGGTTTTGGGGCTTGTCTTGGTGGTTTTGGGGCAGGTCTCGGTGATTTTGGGGCTGGTCTCAGCGGTTTTGAGGCTGATCTTGGGTTTAGGGACTTGCCTAGGGTCTTTTGGGGGTGGTCTTGGCAGTTTTGGGGCAGGTCTCGGTGATTTTGGGGCTGGTCTTGGGTTTTGAGGCTTGTCTCGGGTTGGGAGCTTGTCTAGGATCTTTTGGGTCTGGTTTTGGCGGTTTTCGGGGTGGTCTCGGCAGTTTTGGGGCAGGTCTCGGTGATTTTGGGGCTGGTGTCGGTGGTTTTGAGGCTTGTCTCAGGTCTGGGGGTTTGCCCAGGGTCTTTTGGGGCTGGTCTTGGTGATTTTGGGGCTGGTCTAGGGGGACCCTGCTAGAATTGGGGGGCTTTGTGCCCATCTGGGGAGGCTCTTTGCCCATCTTGGGGGGCTCTGTACCCATCTTTGGGGCTCTGTGCCCATTTTTGGGGTTCTGTGCCCATCTTGGGGATTCTGTGCCCATCTGGGACTGTTTTGTGCCCATCTTGGGGGTCTCTGTGCCCATCTTTGGGGCTCTGTGCCCATCTTGGGGGTCTCTGTGCCCATTTTGGGGGTTCTGTGCCCATCTTGGGAGCTCTGTGCCCATCTTGGGGGGTTCTGTACCCATCTTGGGGGCTCCGTGCCCATCTTGGGGGGTTCAGTGC